TAATGATTCTTCAAATAATAACTCCGATTCTGGAGATTCCTCATCTGAGGTTGAATCCGATCATAGTTATGATGTACGCGGTCTGGTCCAAAGAAGAGACAGAGTCTCGAATCTCCGATTCAATGTACTTCACAAAAATCACAAAAGAAATCAGGTACGATTATCGACTTACAGATCTGAAAAATTATTCTAGATATGTTTAGTGATCCAGAGGTTATAGAAACAATTAGAAACAATATTAATAACACGAATTTATCTGTTACCAGACCTGATTTTATGAATTATCGAAATTCAGCTCCAGAAATATCTGATTCCGATGGGGAGGATGAAATGCTAGACGATCCTATGGAGATAGATTTCATTCAAAAAAAAGATCCAGCTACGGATGTTATAACTACAAAAAGCAAAATTAAACGATTAGTAATTCCGACAGCCACAGTCGATCCTGATGCAAATTTTCCAATTATAACAGAGGATATTGTTAAACATTAAAACTTATAATCGATACAAAAGAAAAACACGATCTTAGTGGAATTGCTACATCACCTATTGAATCCATTGGAATTGTCCATAACATTCCAGTAACTTTCACCTCAGGCTGTACTATATATTCTGATTTTGCTGTTGTTAAACATTATAAGCTGATGCTTATTTTGCCAAATACTCTTCTAAATAAATATGATTATGATTTGCTTGCATCAAAATGAGAATTAAAACTCGTATGTAACAGTAAAGAGTATTTTATTCCGATAAACATGCACAAAGTCAAGAATAAGCTCGAAGTAAATTGCGCTACCGCATCTCAGGGTAATAAGTCATTGGTATCCAATCAAATCTCACAAGAAACGGATAGTGATAAGGATAACAATGTACCATTAGAAGAATGGCGTGCTCCTGCGGGGTTTAGCACAGATTCTGACAACTCAACTTTAAAAAAAAAAGTGTAAATTGTGAGATATATGAGAAAGAAATACATAAAGCAACTAAAGTTATTACTGGTCTTAACGACCTTGTTTGTCATATATGATCATCTAATAAAGAAAATAAAGATTAGATAGGATGAATAAAGTTCATCATTTATGATTTATCAATACTATATCCTGAATATGATAAATTTTCCTCCTTTTCTTTTACCGCACATTTAAGATGGGCTGGTTCATCTGTATTTATTTTTTCTATTGAGTCCTCAGAAATGATGAGTGGATCTAATATTTGTACAGTCTGGATCTCTTTGTTTTTGTTCGCTTACTTGGTTGTGTTAACTTTACTGATGAGTTATCTATAACAGAGCCATCTACCAGGTGATGAATCTGAGATGAGTCAAGGACTTGAAGCTTAGCTTTCTCGAGACCCTGTCTCTCCTCTGAATTATTTCTCTTTGTGTCTAAAGGTTTGAACTCTATATGGGTGACATTAATAGTGGAATTTGATTTATTATTGGAGCTAGTGTCAGTGGCAGGCACGTAAGTGTCATTGTTCCACAATAAGTCACAACTCTTCAACTTAAAACATTTGGTGTTTTGATATGTTGGGGATGTAAAATTAGAGACATCATCATATAAGTATGGTATAGGCTGATCCCATAAAACTCTATTAGCTTCTACTCCCCTCCAAATCTGATAAATACGTTTTGTTGATGTTTTATACTTATCCGTCAACTCATTTAAAATTTTATATCTTGGTTTTATATCACAACACTGCATAATATATGAATAATCTTCTGGTGTAAAAATAGGTGTATTGTATTTCATACGTATTCTAACCATAGTGATAAATACTTTATTCTTTTTGTTAATTTAAAAATATAAGATATTTATATCCAATGAAAAATATAAAATAAATCGAAAAAATGTAATATATCAAATATATAAGTCTGATATTCAGTTAATACAAATGTCTAATCTAGTATATATATGTATTCCATTTTTAACATTTATCCTATATGATATATTAAGTCCAACATACATATATATTTAGCTTTGTTTATTTTATTCGAATATAATTTACAATTTATTTTTAACTATTGTTATGGATATTAATGAAGAATTATGTTACGCTACAAAAATTATATTCAATCTAAATGCTTGCAATGAATCATTGAAAGCTGATTAATTAAAGCGAGAGGAGAATTTTGATCAAGAAAGAAAGAGATGGGATCGGAGTAGAAAGAAGTGGAGTAAAAAACTAGGAGAGGTTGTTACTAAGAACCAAAACCTGCAGTTTGAAAATGCTAACAAAGATATCTATCTTGCAAAATCCAAGGCTAAGTATGTTACAAAATTAGAGGAGATTAAATCACTTCGCAATGAAATGGAATTATTGAAGGGTAAGTTAGATTTATCTCAGAAGGACTCATCAAAGAAAAGATCCGAAATCGTGTCTCTCAAGTCTAAGATAGTTAAATTAGTTATAATATTAGCGAATTGGAGCGTCTGAAATCTGAGGATATATCGGGATCTATAGGTTCTGTGAGCCATAACCCAAAGGGTCACCTAGGCACACAAGTGCCATTGTTTCACAGGCCTGAAGGAGTGACCCTAAAGGGTCATACGGCCTGCTCTACAATAATCGGTGGAGATAATAAAAAAAATATGCAGAGTAAGGAACAAAGTTCCATAACCAAGTCTGACGATATATCTTTGGGTAGTACTGATCTCAGTAAATATTTTATACACAGAAAAAATATGGATCCAATAGAAAAAATTGATAGTAATATATCGACATATACTAGTAGTGAGATTTCCGAACTACCAAAAAATGATATCGCGATTAGTCCTAAGATAAATGAGGAAAATAACATTAGTGAAATTAGCAAGGATATTACATCCCAATCTCAAAAAATCCCAAATATAACTCCTTACCTTGCACAGCTAGAAAATAATAACCCCTCTTTGATCGAATCACACTCTCAAATTCCGATAGAAGAAATAGGAGCAATCCTTGCTGTGGCAAGTACATTGATGTCACCTCTATTAGCATGTATATTATTTGTTCTGTTAATTATTGCCGTTATATGGTTTGTGGTGAGACACACGTGGAATATAGGTAGGCTCAAAGAGCCAGGATTCAAAGGGTCACCTTATGGCCCACTCCACAATAAAAAAGTGATCGACTATGGGATACGTGGATCCAATAAAAGGCTGTCTATTTGAACTTCGATATTATTTATGTATGAAAAAATATAATTAATATGTGCCTTGGCACTAGCTTCGCTATTGTATAAGTATTTAATAGGGTGTCGCAATTCAATCAAGAATACTTAGATGCAAAGCATTCTCATTACATGAGACAATATAAATCAATAATCAGATATCTTTTTTACTATTCTGTATAATCGATAGTGCCTGAAGACATGCAATATCAAGACCAACTGCCCTATACCATGTATTTCGGAATTCTGTTAACAACTTACACTCGGATTCCAAAATATCAGTTAATATATACTCTTCCAAAATTGTACTTTTAGAAATATGTGCCTTGGCACTAGCTCCGCTATACTTATGAAAGTTATTAACTAACTTATACAAATCTTCTCTATATCCTGTAAATGTATTCGAAATTTCTATGAATAACATTGATAATTTGAGTGAATAGATTTCTTATGTTTATCTAATGCATTGAAATAAGGATTATTACGAAGTAATGAGACTCTGTCTTTAATTTTCTGTAGAGAATTTTTAATATAACTGCTAATATTCATAATAGAGCATAATTTTTCGGCATGTATAATTGCATCTTTCATAAATAAGAGATAATGGCTTCATCTTTTTTCGGAGCATCGCGTAAGTTCTTAATATAATTTTTAAGCCATTTTTTAGCCGATTTCTGTGTCTCTTCATCTTTAATTTTTGCTATTTTATCTTCATCTAGACTCGAAGAGTCATTGTTTTGCAGGCCATATGGGCATTTACTACGTAAATATAAATCCTTAGCAAGTTTTAATTTCTTCTTCTTAGATTTCTTTTTACGATCCAAGACTTTTGAGAGGAATTCAGGTGATGGTTAATATTTATCATCGTAATTTATAAAACAAGCACAGAGACCAAATAGACTTTCGATATAATAATCAATATTTATTTTCTTGTTGAACTTTTTTACCACATCTGGGTATTCCATACAGTCCCCTTTTTGTTGTGATATTTTTTTCCCTCATTTATCATAAATCTCTTCAGGTACTACTACAATGTAACTAAATTGATCATCAAGTTTGAGAGCTTTATATAGATATTCATTAGCAAGTAAACCCTTCTTTAGAAGCTGTTGATTTTCCAATACTTCATGAGAATACTTAGCCTCCATTTGTGAAACAAACTGTTCTACAGAAATATTCTCCCGCTTATCTTCCTTTTTAGGCCTCCATATACATGTCTGAATAAATTCATCATAATCTAACTTGGAAAGTTTTTCCACATTTTCCCAAAGAACTTTTTCAACAATCTGGTGTATTGTTTCCTCATTACTGACTTTCAAAGTTCTATTCATAATTTCCTGACCTACATCATGGAAGAGCTTAGATTGACCTCTTTTTACGATATCCACCTCTCTTATGAAAAGCTTACCCAGATTAAAATTTGGTTTATTTTTATGTTTCAAACCATAGTATTTTTTCTTTCCTGTAAATACCACGGGAAATAAGACCTTCTCATATGCCATATTAAGATAAGGCATTCCATTGTCTTTTTCAAGCTCAGTATTTACTTCATTATGGAGGTTTACCATCACTTCCATAGATATTTTTACCATTTCCTCCCAGTACTTTTCTTGTGAGATTTGATCTAACTTATATTTTCGATCACATTCCTGGAAACACTCATCTGGGCATGTGAGATATAAAGAATTGGTGTCTCCATATTTAACACTGAATCCTTTATCTTCAACGAATTTTCTAACAAATTTAATATTACGCTGTCCAGCAGAAGTAACTCCACCCACTAACTGCAATTGATAGAATAGGGAGAGATTATTATCTGCCTTACCATAAAATGTATTCATGTATAATTTTACTGCCTTTTGTTTTGAGTCTAAACAACTATATTCGAAACTTTCCTTATCCAATTCATTAAGGCATTTTTTCATTTCCTTTCGTTTAATAAACAAATTTTCCAATACTCTAACATATAAACTCTTTTCTTCGGGTATATTATTGTGGCGAATGGACCAAGCTTCTATAGTTTGACCATTGAATAGAAACTTAATCTTGTGGGTCTTCTTTCCACTGCGAATTACATTTATTGTCTCTTCACGAGATAATATGATTTTTTTTTTTTTTTTTTTTTTTTTTTTTTTATCGTAAAAGGGCATTAGATGCAAAACTTTATTAAGTATATAAATTGATACACAG